TAGAGGACCTACAATAATGTACAGTATTTGAAAAATAATGTGTTTTTTGAACATTAAAGCATGTCAACATATTCTGTTACACCAAATACACAAAATAATGATCTTTAAAAAAGCATCATATGACCCCTTTAATGACTTATAAACTAAAACAATTTTTGTCCCATATCTTGAATTTTAGGGACATTCTAACTACGTTCTCTAGGCTCCATCACACTGAGTTGTTGCCCTGCCTCATATTTGTCATCAATCAACTGTATGAAAATGTCAGATGACCCACATAGGTCTGGGGCGGGGCAAGTGCGGGGCAATTTTCAGCAGTCATTACTCCAGGCTTGTCGTATGATCCTTCAGTATCATTCTAATATGCTGATTTATTATCAGTGTTGGAAACAGTTGTGCTGCTTAATTTTTTTTTTCTTTTGGAACCTGTGATACTTTTTTCAGGGTTCTTTGATGAATACAAAGCTAAAAAGAAGATAATTTATTTAAAACAGGCTATTATTCAAAAGCTCGCTTGAACTGTAGTGTTTGTCAGGTCATGGAATGTCTGAAATGTGACATCTGTAATCTGGTGATTGTCGATGTTGATTGATCAAGATTAAACTGCTCTATTTATCCATTAAGATACAAATGGAAGTTTATAAAGACATCTAATCTTATTTCTTTTAATAAAAGATTAAACCACTCTTTTTAGTTCATTATTCCATCACATTTTAATAAGTATACACCCAACTATACATTGTCTCTGAATCCTGTTCAGATGGAGCATTAGTGAGCAATACTCAGTAGAGCATAGACTTGTCTGCCTTTACTAAACCTTTCCTTGTGGCTGCCTGTCAACTGGAGTCAGGGGACTTGTTAACGGCAAGTAGACCACGTTCTACAGGAAGCATACGGGGGGGCTGATTTCCCCTGAGCATCTGACAGATGAATGGACCCACAGCAGCCTGTCAAACACCTTCATTTCTTCTGCTTTCATGGTTTGGAATTTTGAGCGTAGTTACATTTTAAAAGCCAGTTCCCTTAAAAGAGAACATGTAGGCCTACTTGTTTAAATAAGTGAACACCACACATCGCCAGGTGCCTGGAGAACCTCTAAAATTGTTACTGCATATCAAAATATAAAAGGTATCACTGAACTATATATCACATTAGCTATCACTAAACGGCATAGTTCTTGTCCTGAGCATAGCATGAGAAGACTGTCACAGACTGGAAAACAGGAAAAGCATTCCAGACTCCTTTATCAATGACCACAACTAATATGTTCAAGCAAACCAGTGCAACATGCACATCTCATTCAACTGCCTTTCATTTATGACAGCAGTCAAATTTGAACTTGGAAATAGGGGGGAAACCTGTATACTTGATCAAACAAAGTCTCTGTAACATATCTTTTTAAAGTTGTAAAGCTTATGAGCATTTGAAATATACAGTTTAACAGATTATAACTTTACAACACCAAAAAAAAGCTCATTTATGTTTAAACCAAGAGCAGCTTAAATGACAAATTTAAGATCTATCAACAGTGTTTGTGACATGCCTTATTGTTTATACTATAGTTTTTTTGTTTGTTTGTTTTTGTGTTGTAGTATATTTGTATATATGTGTCACCATTGTTCCCTGAAGGAACTAGGTTTCGCTTTTAACCATTGCCATGCAATGTGCTAAAAATGACAATAAAGTTGACTTTGACGCTTTGGATTAAGACTGGAAATGATGTAAGAAATACATGTGTGTGTATATAGTCTATTGAGCAAATGCACTGGGTTTACAAGAAAAGATGTTAAAGTTTGTGTTTTTGTAAAATCTCGTAAAAATATTTATTTATGTGCAGGCAAAGTTGACAAGTGATCGCAGTGGTTAAATGTTAGATTAGTATAGTTTAGTTTCTCTTTTTGACCTACTTGTATGTTTTTATTCAGTTATGTTATTTAAGTGCTTCTTATGCTCTCTTACAACTATGTAAATAATTGTTTTATGCTGTTAGCTTTATTAATAAAATAAAGTCTTTACTCTTTTCTTTTTCTTTCTCTCTCTCTCTCTTTCGTTCTTTCTTTCTTTTCACCTTGCTGTTTGCTGCAGTCAATTCAGTTCTGCTGAGCTTCTGTAGTGGTCTTAAATTGAATCTTGAAACTATGAGACAGCCTTTATCCTCATCTGACTTGTTTTAAATTAGAATTGAAGATGAAGGTGTCCAAAAGTGTTCAGGCCTTTACTAGTTTGCAGAGTGTGTGTGTGTGTGTTTTATGTTAATTACACAGTAATCGACTCCCCACAGCAAATTCATCTAACGTAATTACAGTCGGGTGAATTCACTCGACTCCTGTTGATCTAAATCTGTGTGTTACTGGCCACTAGCCAGTCATTGGCTGTAATGCAGAGAAAGTAGTGAATCTCTGGGTGTCAGCTGACATTCAGTTATAGAAGCAGCCGCTCTTGGAACTTCCCTCATTCCTGGGGAGCAGCAACAGCCATTCCAGAGTTGTGTAATTAGCTGGAGTTTAATTAAAGAGCGATTTGAAGCATGTGGCTGAGAGGCACAATAAAGCTGCTTATAAAACAGAAATTAAATGCTTTACAAGCTCTGTGTTGTCCTTCAAGGCTGTATTGAAATTGCAGAAACTTTACACAAAGGTTTCATGTTTAATGTTCTGCGGCCTTCACGACTCTCCAGTGTTTGCTATTAAAAAAGAAAATAGGCTTTATCGAAAACACACAACAGATGTAATATATTACCGTATGAAGCCACTAAATTTAATATCGAAGTTAAATAAACAATTAAGCGAGACTCACTACTGCTAATTAAACAAGTGATTTAATCGTTTAAAATGTTTGTCATTATATTAAGACAATTTGAGCAAGGCAATTAATATTTTATTAAGCACAGTAGCGTTTGAATTCACTTGCACAAGAGCTTTGCAATATTTATTTATTGAATAATAGGATCTGTGGTTTCTTTCTATCTGGCTTTCCGTGCAGCGTCGCTCCATGGCTTCGGGAATCATAACAGATTCAGGAACAGAGGGACTATTTACTGTGTAAACGCACTCCCACGTGCACATTGTCATGTGCGTGAGAAAATTGCATTAATCCATCATATACAATCTATATTACTGAGAATTATTAGAACAACTTTACACAAACCTGCATTTCCCATGACGCTTAAATTGAAAAAGGGGCTGAAAACCAGTGCAAGTTGGAGCTTTCACATATTGAGTCAACCATTGCAAGCAGTTGGCTGCAGTCTGTCTGTTTCCTGTCAGATGAAGTGCTCATGTCATCGCTGTGTCCACAGCACATCACACGACTCACAGAAACACCGGGGTTAGGCTGTGTTTTAAGAGCCGTCTCACTCCAGTGCCAACGAGTTTACTTATTTTGGAATGGATCGCTGCCTGTGAAGTGCGGTTAGGTGCCAGCTGAAATATAATTTCATGATGGATAGCCTCATATTGTATGATTTATTTCAGACTCACAGACGTGGGTAGTGGTTAAACCTACAAAAGCTACTGCCAAAATATCGGTTTCTGCTACGTAACGCCATTAAACTGCATGATCAAATGTGTTGTCTGCTCAGTGACTTGCCAAAAGTTGAAAATGGAAGGCTTGATACGAAACAGATATTTTAATGTGTTTTATGGCACTATGAAAAGCTACTGTTAGAGACAGGTGATCCGGGGTACACCAAGATATATTCAGTTGCCGCTTAAACAGGGTAGAGGTTGTCCTTAGTTTATTAGATCTGTTAAGTCATTTCGTTAAACAAGGGCTGAATTTGCGAAACAGATCCCCAATGAAAGAGTATCACTTCTTGTCTATGAATGAGCCAAGACCACGTTCTGCCTTATGTTTACCAGGACAAGTCATATTCACTAGACGGCGAGTCTGTTGGGCATGAGACTAATTAAATGACTAGAAATTATCAAAGCTTAAACATGATTAATGTCATCTGTCTCGAGGGATTTGCCTGTAAGCCTTTTGTTGGAGAAGGGCTGAGAGCTTCGATGGCTTCAGCAGATGTTTGGGGCTGAGACTTGTAAAATAGCTCAAAAGGTTATTTTTTGTCGCTATTAAATATTTCACTGCTTTTATTGTCATTACAGATGTATACTTGATGATTTAAAAAGTGAAACAGTCAGTAAATTGCTTCACCTTCCTGTGAGAGACATGGCTACTCATACGTTGAAATCAGACTGTTACTCTGATTTTAATTTTCTTTGTAAAGAGGATATTCATGACATGATCTTGAAAATCTCTGTAACAAAACCAACTCTGCCTTTCATTCCCATTTCCCACTTGTTCCCAGAATCAAAAGTGTTGTCAAGTGTTAACAGGTTCTCATGAATGTGCCTGAAAACTATGCTTGCTAATAAACATTGCTGAAGGTCAGTTCAGCAAACCATTTTAAATTAAATTGACCATTTTCACAGGCCGATAATGCATTTCTGCAATAATTCACATCTTAAACATTTATTTGAAATGTTATGCACATTTACAATATATTTTTACCCTCTTTTGTAAAATTATGGAAATGCAATCGGAATTTTTCTTTTTCTGTTGAAGCAAGTAGGAGTACAATGATATTTGGTGTGGTTTCTTATTTAGAATCAGATAGATTACTTACAAACTGTAATGCGTTAGTAATCCATTACATTACACATTTTAGGTAAAATAATCAGACTACTTTTAGATTCATTTTTATATTACTTTTGACCTAACACATTTATCACATTGATTTAAATAGGATAATCTTGTACCATATCAATATAAAAATGCAAAGAAAAATTAAATATATTCCATTCGTTGTTAGTGATAACATGAAGTGCATTAAACATTACGTTATTATCAAGTTTTTCCAAACTGGTTTTTTTTAAGGAACTAGAGGGGGTTTGTGAATTTAACGAAAAGCAAATAGTTAATTAATCATAAAAATGTTCAAATTAAAATAAATCATTTTAAAATATCATCAATCAAAATAAAACACTTACTAAAAATTTTAAATATTTAATTTGTTTTTTTGCATATCATGTGCCCATTAACCAACGGAAAACCAACTAAAATAGGTTCAGCTGACAAAAAAAAATAAAAAGCTTGGGAATCCCGGCATTACATGTAAATAAGAAATAACGTGAATTTGTGCAGTTTTATGTGTTATATAATATAATCCTCTGATTGATTAATGATTAATTTTTGGAATCTGATTACGTGATCCAGATTACATGTAATCAGTTACCCACCTCAGTTTAGAACTTTACCCTGCTCTAGTTTATTTCCACATACCAAACTCTGAAAAGTGAAAATGGTCCACATAATTTAAGCCAATCCGACAACATGGTGGCATAATGCATTTTACCACAGAAGAATTATTTAGATTTGTTCCTTAATTTATTTTTGATTGAAAAGTAAAAATCATGGATAGAGTAACATACGTACATTACAATGGAAGAAAGTGCCAAAATATGAAGTTCATATTGTTTTCATCAATGGGTATTATTTGAGCTGTGAAGTTATCGTCACTGATGCAGTATCTGTGGGTGTTGACAGTATCAGCAGAGGAGAATTGTTATGCACCCAATAAAGATGAAGCTGACTGCTTTTGTTTAGACTTGTTTTCATTATCAGACATTATGAAGACAATGGGAAAGAGACAAATACGTCATCATGACGGTGAAGCTGACAGATAGATATAACCAATGTCAGTAAGTGAAACTCTCTCAATAGAATATTTTAGTTTATGTATTTTAGCATGGGTCCCATTACTTCCAATATGAGTGCTTTATATTACTCACATTTTGTCAATAACTTGCATTAAACCTGGAACATTCCTTTATATTTTGCTTCAAGACAAGAGGTCACGGTCAAGGCCAAGTGACCTACAGGCAACCGAACTGATCTGCTGGAGCTACAGATCACACTGTATTCTATAGAATTGAATGTGTCTGATTCTACTGGACCATTTAGTCTTTGTCTAAACAGTCGTATATCAAAGCCATACACTTCCACAGGTCTTCATTCCACTTTCTTTGAGGAAGCCGATCCGACACGCTGCACACTACAGATCACGGCACGGAGGAGCAGATAGTGAGGCATGTTCGCTCTAATTGGTGCTGAATGAATAGAAGAGTCTATCTTTCCTAACAGATCCAACAGGGCGGGACACAACGCCTCGATTTCAGCTCACTCAAACACAAATCCCCTCTCCAAAATAAGCTAGCATGACCCTGTTTCCTTAGTGTTTAAAAAAACCACAGACATGGAGGGAAAGGGAGGGGAAGATGAGAGAAAGAGAAAGAGCGAGCGAGTGAGAGGTTTGATGGGGGGTGCTGAAAAAGGATGGAGGGATAACTTCAAAACCCCACATCAAAAGGAATAAATAATTGTTTCTGCTGGTTGTGTTGTTGTGATAGGGATCTGGAAGAGGGGTGCAGCAGTTTTTGATTGCAGGCTGCTCTCCTGGAGAGGGCTCCTTCTGTCTGCTGCTCCTGTGCTGCGGCAGGACCTGCTGATTAAACCCTGTTTGTTTTAATCTCCTCACAACCCCACGGGACCCCAGCTGAGGGAGGGAGGGAGAGGACGGCAGAGGTGAGGTATGGATGGAAAGTGAGTGAAGGAAGTGTAATGATATTGAGATGATTGCGATGGAACATGAGAGAGACAGACGAAGGTGTTACAGAGGAGGTCACTCATGCAACTCATACCAATTGGGCTCGAAACCTGTCACTGCTTTTGATAATCAGATGAAAGAGTTGTCTGTGTATATTTTTTATGTTTATTAAGCACTTGAATGCCTATTTTGTATTTATAAATAAAAAAAAATTCCCCTTTATTATTTAAATTTGAATTTATTATCGTCCAATTACAATTTCCTTCTTTTTTGTTGTTGTTGCACTACCTCACCTGATCTCACCAGTGTTAAATCTTGAACCAAGTCTTGAACAGATGCCACAGTCAAAGTGAACATTAACCTGTGGCTTTGGTAGGACTAAATTAGGTTTAAATTGCACTATGCTTATAGTAACATACTATGGACTTGGATGGGTAAACATATTCACACAAATTAACAGTCAGTGATGACTGCTCAAGCAATATCTTTGTTAGTTGACTTGACTCTCATAATGTTAAAAAGGTTAAACATTTGAACAATAATACCTAAAAGCCAAATCAGTCACATTTTAGTTTTAATTTTTTAGCAAGATAGATGTATTGAGATAGATATGAGCCATTTAAAGAAATGCTCATCTCTACACTCACCTACAACATTATTAGATTATGACAATGAAATAGAGGTAAATATGAATTAGATCCGTTGTGAACATGATAGGATAGCAAAATTTCAACATGCTTCTGAAAAAAGGTTAATTAAGACAGTCCTAGGACCTACAACTAACTCCTGCCTTTTAAAAACAAAAAGGTTACACTTTATTTTAAGGTGTCCTTGTTACAGTGTAATTATACATTTAAGTACTGAGTAATATTGATTAACTACATGTATTTACTATATGGTTAGGGTTAGGATTAGGGTTTGTCTTAGGGTTACTTGCATGTGATTATGCATAATTGATTGTTATTATAATAGTGAGTACATGTAATGTGTAACAAGGACACCTTAAAATGAAGTGTTACCAATAAAAACATTAGGCCTATATGTAACTTGAAAACTTAATAGGTAGGTCTAAAAACTGAAGAATTTGATTAACATTTGGTGAGAATAGTTATTGCGACCATGATTCAAATGCTTATTTTTAACCATTATACGGACAAATAGAATGTCTGAATTCATAGAATCCGGATAACTACCACTGAGATTCTGAAGTGTGCATCACTATTTTGTGAAGCCACATTTGGGGAAGTTATGAATGACAGTTAAGTGGTTTAACTGCCAGCATAAGTCACATGACAGTGAGACCATGGTGGATGTACAGCCGAATTTATACGCACACTATATACATTCATATTACATAGAACATACTTTATTATTACTCGCAAAATAAGTTGTTTTTCAAATGTAGTATCTACTTAGCATACGATTTTGGATTTTGGGTGGGGGTTAAAGAAATTGAAAGTAATTAATGACAACACAAGGATATATAAATGTCTCTTTTCTTTTATGGTGCTTCTATCTCCATAATTTCACCTTATTTCTAAAACTTTATGATATATTAAATGATTTATCTCATTATATATTAAATTTAGACAAAGAGTTGAGCTCATGTGCTCCAACATAGACAGCAAGCCAGTTCAGTTTCTGAACATAATTGATGGATTATTTCAATATATAGTTCATGTATTACACACAGTCTGTCTCTCTCTCTCTCTCTCTCTCCTCATTCTCACTTTTCAGAGCTGTGTTTAAATAGGCTGCTGAAACAGATGAAAAGATGAAGCACTTCAAAGCTTCAGCATTGTTTAGAGAATGCCTCCTGCTCAAACATGCCCCCACACCACATTCAAGAACACAGAGCGGTACAGCAATCCTTCTGGAGCTGACCTTGCCACATAAATAATCCTTCTGCTGCTAAGGTCAGCTGGTCACCTTTAAAGTTGCTTATTCATTCATTTATTTATTTATTTACTGCAAAAAATAACAAGCACATTCCTTCCTCCCACATTGCTTTTCTTGTTCTATTGTTTTTTGTGGGCTTTTTTCTTTCTTCCTGTTATCTATCTTTACTCTTCGTTTTCTGATAATTTTCACAGTTATAATGCATATACTGTAGAGCACCTTACTATAATGACTGTGAGCTTCACACCTCACAGATGACTCTGATATCAGTGCTTCTCTCTCCTTCAGTGTGTAATTGAACTGCGTCTATGCAGAATTATTGTTTAGCAATTCAGTCACTTTCAAAGTCATCAAAGGCAAAGACCATATCAAACCATTAGGTTTGAAAAGAAAACCCTGAATATGGGCGGACAACACATGAGTCACACTTAAAACATATGAATTTCAATGCATTAAATGTCAAACAATTTCTAAGATGTCGATGTATTTGTTTCTTCAACTGAACAGATTTAGTGAAATTTAGCATCACGTCACTTGCACACCAATTGATCCTCTGCAGTGAATGGGTGCCGTCAGAATTAAAGTCCAAACAGCTGATAAAAACATCACATGATTCCAGTCCATCAGTTAACCTCTTGTGAAGTGAAAAGCTTTTGTTTGTTTGTAAGAAACAGATCCATCATTAAAGCGCTTTCACTCCTGTCCATAATCCATAATAATGCTTTCATACAAAAAGCTAATTGACGGACTGGAGTCATGTAAATAATTTGTGGATTCACTGCAGAGGATCCATCGTTGACCCAGGTATGTAATGCAACATTTCTCCAAATCTATTCTGAGTCCCCTTATTTTTGAAACCCGAAATGATCTGGCTGCATGGTTTACTTAAAAGGTATATGCTATTGTAACAATCTGAATAATTTTTAATGCTTTTTATTGGCATGAGCACCCACGTAGCTGATGCTCCAGATTTTAACCAAAAAAGCTGATTTTATTATACAATAATTAAATGAAGTATTGCATGTCATACCATTTCATGTCAACTAGCCACATGTGTGTTAAAAGCAAAATATCGGTGTCACTCTGCTGTCTGAAACAGCCTTCACTGGGAAGAATCTAGTTGATACTTTCACTTATTCTTCATTTGGTTGACACTGATAGGGACAGTGAGAGGTTTGAATATGTTGTTAAAGAGTTAAAGGCTGAATCTGTAGGGCTCACGAACAGCTTACATTCTCTATAACACTAACCCTTCTCTCTTCTTTCATCTTTTAATCCTGCACTCATAAGGTTGCTAGATAAGTGGCCATGACTAACTCGTCTCTCTCTGTCTGTCTCTCTCTCTCTCAGCCCTTCTAATGGGAAAGAAGGGGAACAGCCCACATAATGAGAGACTTTACCTTCTTTTGAAGACAAATTGGACTGAAATTCCATCTTTGAATCTCCCTTTCAAATGAGCAATGTTTAAAGACGGAAGCGCTCGACAGAGTAAGAAAAAGATGAAGGAAGGACGTGGGATACATATACAGAGGGGTAGAAGGAAAGAATGAGCTCCGCTTCCTGCTCTGTTTCAGGCTTACATCTTCTGTTTGTTTGTGTCCTGATTTCAAAGCCTTCAGAACCAGTGAAGGCTAAACTTCATGCATCCTGAACGATAAAATTACTATGCGATTCAGGATGAGCATTCCACACAATGCAAAAAAACAAAACAAATTATCTATTATATGTAGACAGGCCCTAAAATTAACCTGCCACTTGTGCGTGAATTTAGTACCAACCATCAATAGCTCTCTCTAGACATTAAACTTTATTTTCTTAATTAAACATATAATATATAATTTTTTGTCCCTGATAATTTAGGGTTTTATCAAAAACCCAGTCAAATTAACCAGTTAAACAATATTTAGTAACATGCAAGACGTGGAGAACTTTGGGAATGACAAGCGATTCGGTTCTGTGGAAATCATCAGTTCAGACCAGGGTAAGGTTGCACCAGCCATTCGTAAGTTCTTACTTAAATTAGAACGTTAAGCCCACACTAGAGGCTTAGTAACTACTAGCTACTTTGTAACTAAATCTATACATTATTTGGTTGCACCAGTTGTTCGTAAGGCAGGATGTAGCATGTAGTTCGTAAACTCTCTGTAAGGTAATGCATAGTCGCATAATATGATGTTTACCCTAAATCATCCAATAGAAACCTTCAAATACACAAGCAGAACTTGTTTTAATGCTATGAATTTTAATTTATCCTTCATTCTAACTTATTTTGCCTCACGTATACTAACGGTAAAAATATAAACACGTTTCCATTAAAAACAATACATTAATAACATTAGTCTATATGTAAGCTATTTTCATATGTAAATAACATTCAGAAACTGTAATTGAAATAAATAAGGATCAATAAATACTGAAAGAAAAAAAAATATAAGAAATGCCATTTATTTATTATTTCATCTGACATGCACAACATGGACTGAAGCGCACAGAGGTAGATGGGGTACCACATAGCAATTTTTTTTTCTGGCCCAGCTCCGGCCCACACAACCAGCTTTGATTGGCCCACATACCGCAATGAATTACAGTCCTAGTGTGGACCAGGTCTGGATTCCAGACAAGGGCCACACATGGGCCATAACTGGCCCAAATCTCAGACAAGTTAATTACCCATAACTGGCCCTGCATTGGGCCAGATCAAAATGTACCATTGGAACCAAAACACAACCTCAAGTAAACCATATCAACACCAACCTTTAACCAGAAAGCCCAAAACTGAGCCACACCTGAGCCTGATCCACAGGTGAACTAAACCTGGCAGCCAAAGACAGATCCATATCTCAGCCACCTGTATGACCATAGCTGGCCCTATTCTGGTCCTATACGCTGGACCAGATGGGTTCCACATGTCAGCCTCAACAAAACCATAACCAAGCCACTTGATACACACCCCTCCCAGATGAATAGTCACAACAACGAAAGTATTCTGAACAAATATATTTAATCATGTTTAATCAGCAAACCAAGTTGAATGAATCTCACACCTAACATGCTTATTTGTTTTGCTTGGGCAGTGTGTTCACCCTGTTGGAGTATGGCAGTGTGAATTGGCTTTTAGGTGCTTTGGAAAACAAAACAAAAAACAGTAAAAATATATACAGTATATATTTTTTTAATGTTTATGCAATTAACACAAAATTCTTAAATAAGGTACTTTCTCTATTTTTGCAATATTCAAACGTTCATGTCCCTGAATAATATCTGCATGCACCCAAGTCTGAAGAGTACACATAATATCTAGTAGAGAGCAATCCTTGTGAGTGAACTGCCCTGAAATACAATTCAAACAAACAATGTAGTGTAAGGCTCTTACATTCACAATGCTCATTTTGGCCTCAGTGGTGAAGTGTGCAGAAAATTCTGCCGGACTTAAATTTAGTCTTTGGTGAACAGTCTTCAAGAGCGCAAATAAGATTTTAAGTTTTAAGTACCTTTCAGGCTTGCGTGAGTTTTCCACAAGCAACAAAGTCTACTTGAACAAACACTTCACTAAAGTTTAGAAAAGAATATACATACAGACCGTTACAGTTTGAAGTGAGGTACGTTCACAGTATTCTGGTTCTGTTTTACCGTTTATAATTTTTATTTCAAAGATCTTTTTTTATTATCATCTGTGTCTTTTTTCGAATTATGATGGACCCCTCTGTAGGTTGTTGTGTATGAAGTGTCCTCAGTGCAGATTTAAGCAAGATGGCCTTGTAGGACATACAGGAAATATTTTTTAATATTTGATAAACTTTTAAATGTTTGAGGTTTTACTTACCAGTCAGATGGTTCATAGTGCCTTGGAGATGTTCTTCGTCAGGAGATCTGCTCCAGCTCTGCAGCACGGCCATCAGCATGGAAGAATATAGGAACAATATGTCACATAGCCAACAATATGTATTATACATATATGCCAGGTTTATTAGAAATAAACTAACTACAGCAGAGGTGAAATGCAGAAAAGAGAAATAATAATATACAAAACATACAAAAAGAAAAGAAAAAGAAACATACAAAAAAATCTTAAGATATCAGAATTCACATTTTTAGGTTTTACAGATGCATGATGATATAGTTGAAATATATTGTGAAAAATGCAAAAATAAAGTTATTTAATAAGATTTCTCAGATCACCTGTGTTTCCTGTATCTCTGTCAGCAGCTCCCATTACACATTTTCTTGTAACTTCCCGTTTTAGGGTTTTTTCTGATGCTCCTGAAATCACAGTACAATTGATCAACATTTGTTTGCAATGAAAGTTCAAAACGTGTTTGAAATAGTTTCAGCCATTAGTTCATGTAAGTGACGTCACCGATTGACCCCACAGTGCAGACTTTTTATAGTTACATCTATTGACAAAGTACCAGCAAAACATTTACAAACTATCAAAATCGCTCATCTACACATAAAATGTGATAATGTGATTAAACTTTCATTAATAAGAGCTCAAATCTCAAATCTATATTTAGCTTAAGTTACCTCTAATATAGCCTCTATAGCTAGTTAACAGTTGTGATGCTAACGGTCTTTCTGAAGACACTAAACCATTCCTGTAAAGTAAAGATTCAACAGAAAC